ATTAGTAAACCACATTTTTTGTTTTTTTGTCTGACGTTAACACAAACAAAGCGGATGGTTTTCCAACTCGTGAACAGGCAACGTATAACTGCCCATGTGAAAAACAATGATTTTCAAGATAATTTATTTGAAGTTTATCCCACAAACACTAAGCGATTGACCTTGCGACTTGTTATTGCGAACGCAAGGCAAACTGGAAATTACAATCGTTTGAAGTCAAACGGAAGACCAGTCGGAACTATTGGTATGTCACCAAATCGCCAGCAATTTTTGATTGAATGGTGAAATTCAGTGCGTGTACATCATTATTCTTTGCGGCAGGAATTGCTCGTTGACTTAACCAGGCATAATTCTGATAATTCTCACTAATGTCATTACTCGAATTTTTAATTACGGTGCGTGAAGTTGCAGCAATTTGCATTGGGGCACGATACCACGCACCACTAATTTTCTTAACTACAAACTTGCGGAGCCCGAGACCATTCCAACGAATGCAAAATTATCGAAAACGGTACGTGCGTTCTGGAGTTATATCGTCAGGAAGGAAAACCCGACTTATTTTTATATACGTATATGTAGATAAATTCCCCTTATAAACGAATGTCACTTTTGATATCAGGTTGTAAGCAGCGCCTGATTTGTGGTCCAAGTCAGATCGAGGCACTTAACATTGCATTAATATAGCACTCCATATTAATGTAATGAATTACTAAATGCGAAAATAATATTCTACTAGTAAGATAATCTACTTTATCAAATATTTCATCGCTTCAGATGACATCAGCCATGATTTCGTTATACAATACCTGTCTAGGCAACTTCTTGAAAACTAATTGTGAACTCGATGTGAGTTGCACCTAACTCCAAACCGGCTTGCTTTTGCATACTGCATTGTATTAACTCTGCACTAAATAGAGAACTTTATAGAAATTGTTGTAAACGATATCCTATTTCAAATTATAATAATGAACTTTCATCATGTGAGCCCTTTAAATGCTGCAGAAACAAAATTATATCGTTTAACAAATTATACAAAGTGAACTTTATTTTGAAATTACTGCATTGCATTTATGTGTATATTCAGATGTAATTTCACTAAATAAATTATGGCCTCATTGAACTGTAACAAAGGAAATTATACAATAATTGCGACAAAATGTAATATAATAATTTTTCTAGAAAGTAGGTACATAATTTTACTAACTAGTTCACTAATATAAAAAATGAAAATCATGTTAAGCATAAATCATTTGAAAATATGTTCAAGTGAAAATTATCTTTCTTCGGCATTGCTACTAATAATCCTTCATATTAGAGAATTTAATATACCAAATAAAGATATGCCGACCATTGGGTTGCATTCTAGTGACGTAGCTAAAGAAAATATTAATCACGAGAACTCATAGAACTCTTCTGGTTTCTGATCAAATATATGAAGAAAAAGCATATTCGTTGTCGCTCAATTATTTATATGAATATCTTACTTTTCATTTTGATTTAGCTATATCAGATGATCATTGTAGGTGGATAATCCTATATTACAGAAATGATACATTTAATGTCATCTTTTTCATGTTTGCATCATTATTTTGTGGATTATCCTATATTATTTGTTTTCTGTATGAGTTTTATGAGCTTTGTATCGTGAATCAATTGAATTATTCATGAAGCTTTAAAAGCTATCTGATTGATCGTAATATGCGATTCACAAAAATGTGCAGTGGTATAGAGCAGGAATACAAATTAATATTTATTTATAGTTTATTAAAACATGGTAAACATGTAATAATTGAATAAAAGTAAAATATTAATTTTACTATTTTTAGATATTTTTGTACACAATATATGGTTATTTTTATATGGCCATTCAGAGATGTTATTAGGCTCCAGGAAAAAGTTTAGCCATTTTAAATATTACGTTTTAAAATAAACAAAATGTAATGTAATTATGTGTAGTTATAAAATTTATTAAAACTTTTCTTCGATAATTCAGTTTGTTGGGTTATAATTTAACCCTTGTTGCTGTGGACTGTATTAAACTCTGATTTGTTTGTATATTTTGTATTTGTTGCAGTTCTGATTACAATCACTGATTTGTTACTAAGTTATAATGAAAGAAGATATATTTATTGGTTATTTATTATAAATGTTGTTTTACGGAACTTTTACTTTTAGAAGTGAACAACTAGTTTAATTAAAACACTTTGCTACCTCCTCTACCAGGGGTAACAACCATTCCGAGTAAAGCTTAATGCCCTGAAGGTTGTCACTTTCATGGCCAATATATTAAAACGAAAATACGTCCGAACAATATTAGTATACAAAATAGAGAGAACTGAAAGAAGTGTGTGGTTGGAAAATAGATTCTCTAGCAGATGTATGAGACAGTTGTTGACAAAATTAATATTTCAAACATTCATTTAAGTTTACCAGGATATAAGATTCACATTTTTAGAATCCAATTCAATTATCTCGATAGACCACTGCAATCAATTTATATTAGTCTAGAATTCGTTACATTTCTCATCAATTTTCTACTAATGCACGTGGTTTAAAGCTATCTCCATCGCAAATTAAAACCTTGACCATTATTTTCAATCTCTTGATCGTTTCTCACATTCTTTCCAAAGTTATGTAATAACACTTGCTTCTTTCTTTGAGTTGAAATAATTAAATGTTATAGTTCACCTCAAGATCGAGCGTTTCGATCAAACAAAAGTTTATCCAACGCCTGCAGTTACATCGGACTAAAGTTTTAATGAACATTTATTATTAGTTATTTAAGAAAGTAATAAGCGTTTAGAAAACTGAAATCTTTTGTATTTGGCAGATGGGAGCAGTTTTGGAATTAAATGAAATTCGTTGTACTCACGCGAATTAAAAGTTTGGGACACTTATTGAAAATTCTAACGAAATGTGTCGACTGAGGGAATAAAACACTATTTTAGTTCCACGTTTGATTTTTATTTTAGTTTTATAGAATGCTATATTTTTGTAAAATCAATATTGATTCACAATTTAAGCATCGTGATTTTTTTTTATAATATATTGATAAAAATAAAAAAGATCTGCATAGTGAGCTTTAAAAAATCAATGACGTGTGGATACCTTTGCTATTATATTTATTATATTAATTTTTACCTTATAGATTAATATGAACAAGTACATTTTTCCATCTAAAATTTAAATTTATCGTTGCATGTTCGTATAAATTTCTCTATTACCTAGAGAAAACCAAAATAATAAAATAGAAAAATAAAGAAATATATTTTGCACCAGAATATGCTTCCGTTATATATGGGTTTTAATTTTTGAGTAGCTTTCGTCTGGTGTGTTGGCAGTATATCCAGAAATATTGTAAATAATCTATTTGTTGCTATACTAGAAAATATAATATTTCCTCTATCAGGAAACATAATATTTTCTCTGTTATATATGAACACTTCCAAAGAATTTAATATGAATTTTCATCGTTCCCATTACCAATATTAAAAAGGCGTAATCCAATTCAATGTATTTACAATAATATTTAAAAATGGAGTTAGAAGATAATAAACAAGTTCAAAGTAAAATCATTTATATGTATTATTAAAAATATTTGAAACTTGTATTATTTTTCAGAATTTATAAGGATTTGATGATTTAAAAATATTAATTTAATTTACTGATTTATTTTTTCACTGATTTGAATGCAATTTATCATCAGTGTGATGTACAAAGTAGTTATCACATCTAATTTTCATTAATAAATTTAAATTCATTGTTGAATAGTGACATAGAGACTCATTTTCTAATATTAAATTTAATATTTGTAGTATCAATATTACTAATTTGGTAATTCCACACGTGTATAATTGCATTTTTATCACATTCGAATGCAAATTGATATATGCACATAAAATGCATTTAAAATGTAGAAAATGTAATTAAAATTGTATAATGTTACATACTATGTTTCATTATTGAATACTCATTCTGTTCCAAATTAATAGATTTGCATGACCTTATTTTAATATAGTGAAATCGTGTAAATTAATACAAATTGTCAAATGATAATTTTTAGTAATTTAAAATATTACCATCAAATATCTCGATGCTTTTATGATTATATATATTGATATTTTCATGCCGAACTCATTGTTGAAATACTATATTATTTACTATTCTTATTATTTGTTTTATTAAAAAGAAATATTGAATCATTCTGATGATTTTAGCATTTGAAACATTCAAAAATGTAAATATTCTTGCAATCGTCTGAAATTTATTTTTTAATAGATATTTTCAAATATTTTTTTCTATACTCATCACTTGCTGAAATAGTAGTAAAAGCTATTTTTATTTGTTTTTAAATAAAATAAATCTGAGGTTTTATAAGATTGCCAGCTTTAGAAGAATTTATGCAGAAAATAATGTTAATTTTTTAAATATTTTTTTAATATTATAGAAGCATCAAATCATTCTGGCCATTTTAGCATCTGAAACATTCAAAACTATAAATATTCTTGCAATTGTCTGAAATTTTTGTTTTGCATATTTTACTAACTTAGTTTTTAATATATTTAAATTTTATAGATATTTAAAGATATTTTAATTATAATAAATATTATTGTATAATGAAATTGATAAATGATATGTAAATATAAAATATGGAATTTGTTTTCATAATCTCTCATACCAGACACCCCTGTCTGACTGAGATATGAAAATAATATATAAATAAATAAAAAAAATCTTCTCTATCATTATTACTTGCTGTAATAGTAATGAAAGCTATTTTTATTTGTTTTTATATAAAATCAGTGATAATCTTGAGATTCTATAAGATTGTCAGCTAACAATTTATTTAGAAGAATTTATGCAGCAAATAATCTTCATTAAGAGAGATAATTTGCAATAGCTATATTTTAATTTTTATTATATAGATTTTGATGTAAAATTCATTGCTTCACAATATATGTTTTTGTATGTAAAATCTGATTGTACCATGTCTGTTCCAGGAATGGCTTACAAGACGTGTGACGAAGACGCGACGTGGTTCAAACACCCCCTGAGCAACCACACCTGGTCTAATTATACGACATGTGTCAACTTGGACGACTTAGAGGTGAGCACTGAACCGACTTGCTTTGATAATAATTATTCAGTACGATACTAGAATACTACTACCACAGACGAGATTCATGTCCGATTGTTAGATTGGATAAGTTAACAACTGTTTCGACTTAACCAAAACATCGCGAACTGGTGAATAGTGTTTGTACACTGGAAATTGTTTTTGTTATTTGATGAATTAACTTGGTACCGTGGCAATCAATGTTGCGGCTTTACGATGTTTTGTTCCATCAGCTCGATTTATTATTACAAACGAGGTTTGATTCTGGAAGAATAATAATCCTTCATTATGCAATCATATGCAATATGTAATTACTTATATATCAATTTTTTTAACAAAAATGTGCACTAATATGTGCATAGGTATTTGACAAAAAATCACGAAACATCACGTGGGAGAAAGGAGGGGTCTAGTAAAATATCACGTGTATTTATTTTTTACCTGAATTTAAAAAAAAATCAAATATTTTCATAAAATAATCACAAAAATTCACCTAGCATTACGTGGGGGAAAGGAGGGGTCTAATAAAATATCACGTGTATTTATTTTTCACCTGAATTTAAAAACAAATACGATTCGTAAATTCGAAAAATTTCTTAGAAAAATGTTACGTAATACACGTCATATTTGGTGGGGACGTGATTAATAAGCGCCCCTTAAGGTTATTGGCATTTCGTGGGTGTTACTGCAATATATATGCACCATCATTATCAGATATAAATATCTATTATATATACTTGAAACATAACAAAGAAAGGTAGTTGACCTCTAGGTTGCCCTCTCGAAAAAGTACTAGTTTACATTGTATGAAATCTGATCACCGCTAAAAAATTGCAACAGTTACATATATCTTTGCTTCTCGTTACCTATTAATTATTATTACCAGTTTTTTTTCGTTAAACAGCAAACTAACAAGATATTCTAAAAACTGTTGTGACTCATTTATTTTCTACTTATATGGAAGTAAACCTAATAATTTTCCTTTTTCATTGAAATAAAAATTGATATTTGATGCAACAATACATGAATATATTATGAATTCACTTCTGTTTTATTTGAATTTTTATACAGTGCTTTAATTTCTAACAAATCTTGCAAGAAACCGAGTTAAGCAATTTTTCCTTGGCCAGTAGAGGTACATACTTTGCTCGTTTCTATGTAAATTTTATGGTTATATTCAATGCAATCTTTTAGTAACGTAGCAGATAAATAAGCACAATAACAACAATGACCGTATAAATTACTTTTATTATTAAACATATTAATTTTAATATGCTTCAATTGAATACTATATTTGATGAGTGAATATTATGATGTTAATTACATAAAGCGTTAGTGTTCTAAATATATTACTTATTTATGCACACTTAAATTAGCTATAACACTATATATGAACATATTAATAATATATAAATTAAATATTAAATCAATACTATTTTGGTTCCCAAATAACAATAATTACTGGAATATTAAATCAAGCTTTCCGTCATTTTGCAAGTTCATTCATTAACATTAATTTAGTGTACTTATCGAATCATCAAGTTATTTATATTTTATCTCGATTTTGAATAATAATAATTTTATAAGTAATAAATTCAGAAGTCTGAAACATCGCTAAAACTTTATATTGGTTAAATGTGTTTCATTAAGTTTCACTGCCTGAAGCCTAATTATAATTAAAAAAACTTCTCGTTTTTAATTTTCGCCATAATGATTCTCAAGGCTATTAATGCGCTTTTCTGATTATATACATTAAATTTTATTTCTCATGCTGAACCCATTGTCTAGAAAATATATTCTTTTGTATACGATTTATTATTAAGAAAGCAATGGAAGTGTTAAATTTTGACGTTTTTTCCTCAATTAGACCAGCTCGATGCGTTGAGTAACTGAAGTTCTATTGAAGTCTATTATTTCTTACTAGCCAAATTAAATCTATCTTCATTCAACAGTCTTCTGCCATTCATTTCTATTCAAATAATTTAATTTTTCTCGTCTTTCAAGAAGTTTTGAATTATACAGCATTTTGCAGATAGCAAATTCTGATTGCAGGTATTGCTATTATATATCATATCAACTCGACGTGTCATAGAGTAAAATAATTATGTTATAAAAAAGCTTAGCGTCAGAAAATTTTCTTCATAGTTCGTGCATTATTTTCACAAGAAAAGTGCACTCTCATGTCAAAGTGTTGTGCACTGCTAAAGGTTGGGTAAAATGATAATAGTTTTAAAAATCGTTAGAATCTGGATATCTAAATTGTGAGCATGATATAATATAATTAATATAGTTCCGTAATAGAAAATCTCTAAATTACATCATTCTTTGGGTCATTTTTACCTATCTTTAACCGACTATCATCATTTATACTAATATGGTCTATAAAATTATAACTTATTTTAATTAATATATATAAGATACTAATGCATAATAATCAACATTGATTTATATTATACACATTATCTTTCAAATTCGACTTGAATCCATCTTTAGAGTTAATATCTGGAATAATTTTTACTAAATGGTTACCAACTATAACTCTTTTTTTTTCAATAAAATAAGCGAATTATTTATATGATAATAATACCATAATTCAATTTTGTAAATGTTATAAGTGAATTTTCTAGTTATTTTTATCACATTTATTACTTTGAATATTATAATAACCTAATATTTTTAATGCACTGAAATATTTATTAGGTTATTTTGGTACCTTTGACATCCCTTACAAACAGTTTTTCCACCACTATCTGTAGAAGTGTTACATTTTACCGTTTTCTATTTGCAATATCATTAGAGTTTTTCATATACAATTTTATATATCTTATTTATTATTCATGAAAATGCAGCAAGTCGTAGATCAATGTCTTGCTTCTTTAGTTAGTTATACGTTTTTATTTTTATAATCACAATAAAATAAATATTTCATGAATTTTCAACAGATTTTTAAATAATATATATATATATATATATATATATATATATAGATTTTAAATAATGGTGTACTAGTTTTCCTCATATTTTTAAATAGGGATGCAAAAATTTGAGCATAGAAGTATCGAATATTCTTATCTTTAACTGCATAAAGACGAAATATCAAAGCGCGTAAGCGCCGCGTCGCCGTCTATCGCGTAAACATTGGTACGTAACTCACAGGAATGTAAACAAAATTTATACTTATTGTTAAAATCTCTATAAAATATCTGATAATTTGATGTGCATATGTCTAATGTTTATTTTTGACCGCCAAATGGCTCATTTTTTTACTTTTTCCTCCATATCTCCAAAGTCGTTGGACCTGCCTTTTCCATTATTCAAATCGGACGCTCCGTTCTCTTAAAAACTGAGTTACCGTTTTCGGCACTTTTTCGCCCAATCCGAATCGAATGTTTTTTGAATTATTCAAATCGGTTGATCCGTGTTCCCGAAATCGTCGACGAAAATTTGTATCCGCACATACATACATGCACGCACACACACACATATACATCCATTTTTTCTAAGGTATGCCAAAATGTTCAGAAGGTTTTGAAACGTAAAGATCTATAAAAAATTTCATTTTCGAGTTTTTTGCGATTACTATAACTTGCGCTACGTGAAGTTAAAAATCTCAGATAATTTATTTTTGTTTTGCTAATAACATTAATAATTTCATCAATTCATCAATTAATAGTGTAAGTAATATAAAATTTGTAGTAATTCATTGATCTGCTAAAATTCCTAGAATATCATATAATAATAATAACAAGTTTTTTGGAATACATCAACATGTACTCAGGCTAATTAATGTAAAAGCCATTGGGTTGATAGTTAAATGAAATAAATTAAATAGCTCGAGTGTGTGGTAAACACTTGACTATGTAAAATGTTTCAAAATTATACGTTGATACTAAATCTAATAATTTACAATATTAATATGTCTTTTTATTGATTTTCAGTGGCGCCAGAGCGTAAACCTAACATACGAAACGGGCTATTCCATATCGTTGATAGCGCTCATCATATCCTTAGCCCTGCTCTCGTATTTCAGGTGAGTTTTGCCATTTTACAATGTTTAGATACGCTTCCTTGATATTTTTGATGTTCGTAGTAACGAAGTTATTCTGTTTTTTTCCTGATGTTTTCATTTCGTTCACATTTTCTGCATGTGGTTTGCGTACAGTATGCGAAATTCAATCACCATAAAATCTAAGCCAGCTTTGGAACTTCCTTTTAAAGTTAACTCGTGATGTTTGTCGAAGCATTCCTATGGGTCATGTATCTTTTAGCATACCCTTTGGAACATTTATCGTGAAAAACGCGTTTTATTTGATTTTTCGGCAAGTAAATAAATGCTTTGAATAAATATCAAATCTTTTATTTCATATTTGGTATTAAAATATTTATAAAGCACCATTTGCATTAAAATTATATAATAATTTATATGAATTTTCAACTTCAATTAGCTAAGGCTTCTAACTGTGCTGCTTCTCGTCTTATTCATCAGTCAATACTTTTGGTAAATAATCATTACAATCTTATATTTTGAGAGAATTATAATTAGGCAATTTTTGGTTTATCACATTTTGTTTTTTTAACTTCTTGTAGAGTGAGTTATAGTAATGGGCCAAAAATCAAAAATCCAATTTTTAGCATATCTTGACGTTTCAAAGTTTTCTGTACACTTTGGCATACCTTAGAAGAAATTGATGTGTGTGTATGTATGTGCGGATACAATTTTTGTCGAAGTTTTTGAGAGTACGGCTCAACCAATTTGGATGATTAAAAAAGCAATCGATTCCTACTTTAGAATTTAGGGGATTGGTGCTGATTAGTTTTTAGGAAAAGTCGGTCCAACCGTTTTCGAGATATAAAGCAAAGTGTGCAGAAAATGGAGTCGCGGTCTTTGCGAGAACTGGGCATCCGATTGGAATGATTCAAAAAACTTTTTGCTTGTGTTGGCGAAACAAATTGCTTTTGGAAAATTGCTTTTTGTATCTTGAAAACATTTTGGATTTTAATATAAGTTCTGGCTTAAGTTCTGAAGCTTACTTATTTAATTTAAATAAATAAATTTAATTTTGCAATTCATTTTATAGAATTATTATCAATATTAGACAATGTTACAGTATTTATAATGATCTATTAGAAAATATTTAATATTTTTCGAATATTTCGTTATGGTACGTAAAGCTCCAGCAATTTGCCTAAAGGTACGATGCCATTAACCACTAGTTTTTTTATATTTGACTTATTATTATACTTTTATTAAAATATTAAAACACAACCTATACTAATTTGAAAGACACGAATCTATAAGCAGTATGAGAGTGTACGGACAATAATATGCTTTCATTTAGATACTGAACTTCAATAATATTTTTGTGAAAGTCTTCCCAGAATTCACATACTGACTTTTCAAAACTTCCAATTGGATTATTTTTTTATCCATTACCATGATTGTACTTAAGCAAAATTGTTTACAAACTAAACCATGTTTGATAAAAAAGCAAAACGAGCCAACTTTTTCTACATTCCACAGAATAGTTCTGAGAACTATAATCCCTGTCTGATACCAACAGCACTTTTCTCTCATGGTGGCGTAACTTTAATTTCCAGGTTAATACATTTCCATTTCCTGCGCTGGCGCGTTTTCCAGAAATATAAGTTTTGATATATTTTGACCATTAGCGTTATAACACGCTTAGTTTTAATTAATTAATTACATTTATTCGAAGTTACATTCTCTATAATCTCCGCCAAGAAGTTGCGGTGGAGTATAATAGATGATCATTATGTGAAGTGGTCATTAATATTGGGTATATGAAAGTAAAGTTGAATTTTACTGTAAGGTAATAATAAAATATTGGGGCATAGGTATTTTTTAATGGTGAATGAATTTTTGTTGAAGATTTTGTAATAAATAAATTGATATGGGTTTAAAATTTTGTAGTTGGACTTGCTCCTAACTACGTTTGCACATAATGATTCTATTCCAAGGTCATCTAATAAAAAACCTGAAAAATCATTATTTACCTCAATTTATCAATCAATCATCGTTATTCTTGTTGAAATCCTTTCTAGTAAAAAGCGTTCGTTTAGTTTTTGCTCTAAACGAAAAATTCCAAAAGCTCTCTTTTCAGTATTTTCAGTTGCTTGTTCAGTGTAATCGATGTGTAACGCTATCAATTGGTGAACGTGATAGATCGACGATTTATAAAAAGCGTGCTGAGTAGCTCCAATCAATCAAACCTTTTTTGCATTAATCCAATATATTTTGCAAACGCATTAATTTTACTTAAAATTGAATTTCCTTTAGATATCAAGGTAATTTATTGTATAGAAGAGCTGTTGATGAATTTTTGGCGGAGATATTGTATCAGTACCGCATGCAAAGTGAAAAAAATAAAGATGATTTATTGAATACAGATGTAACATCAATTTTTTTTTATTTTCAAAAAATCATAGAAATATTTAGTAATTAATTCAAATACTAATAATACATAGGCAATGCATATCCTTTATTTTCTTACTCAAAATCACAGTATCATGGTAAATCTAAAATATGTCATATTGATGCCATTCTTACAGTAATGTATTCCAATGTTATCGTCTCCACAATAATGCATAAAATATATTTTCTCAGAAATTCCATCTTCTCGACCCCCAGAGATGGGAGGGCACATATATGCATGAATGATACATATCACAAGTAAATTAAAAACAAATAAAATTTATTATACCAATTTCAGTCCCCATGCAATTTAAAGACTCGTATAGCCCTCGTAGAAACCGGTAAAATATTCAATTTCCTTTGGTCCAAAGTTTGTATTTATATGCTTATATAATATATTGTGAAATATGTTTATAAATAAATATATATGAATATATAAATTTATATATATATGTATATATATATATATATATATATATATATTGTTTAAGATTTTTTGGAAAGCCTTATTAATATTCAATATTTTAATTTTCTGACCTAAACGGCTTCTCCCTAAAAGAATTATAATTATGTTAAATTATTTTATTCTACGTTTCAGGGTTTGTGGTATGGCCCTACCTTCAGCAAATTTGTAATTGAACCTTTTGAATTGATTAGCTGTAGTCAATTTAAATCATAATAAATATATAAGCTATGATTTTTTATTATTTAAGTAAAACTTGCCTTTTTAATTTGAGCTACCAGGCCTTTAATTTGTTTTAGTCTCCTATAAGTATAAGTTTTTTTTAATTCAATGTTTTGATGTATTTTCATTCTATTCCTCCATGTTCCCTCATATATGTTTAATTATTCCCATATACAAATTTGATTTAATCCCATCGTCGACTTCCAAAGATGGATTGCACTAAAGTTTGCAAGCTATTATAATGTCATAATACGTATCACACTATTACTGCAACCACATTTTAGTTCGGATGTTCATTAGACCAAATTCGAATTGAATTTTAATGAGTATTATAAGATTAAATTAACGAGAACCTGCTAATGACTCCAGCCAAAGCCGTATTCATCGAGGTTCTAGCTTTAGTAATTATTGTTTTACAACATAAAGGGAAAATAATTGAGATAAATCATGTAAGACACTCTTTTGTTGCTCAAAATATGCTGCTTTCTTTTGTGATTGAATCTATTGTTGCAAATTTAGAATTAAAAACCTTCATGTTTTGGTCATATTTTTACTGCGTTTCTGGATAATTTGTGTAAGGTTAATTACCACGATTCTTACAATATTGATTTTTGACTCATTTGATTTTTTCTCGATATTTCATGTTATGTGGAATTACTTGGTATCAATTTAAAAAAATAAAAAAGTAACAGTGCGGTTTTTCTCTAGCGATTTACCAAAAAATCATCCACCTATGTTGAAAATTCACAAACCGTTTGAAAGGTAATCAATTGATAATCTTGCTAATTATTTTTTGGCAAAATCGCCCGGAACGTTTCTTCGTAATTAATTAGCCCATTTACTTTCTTCATATCTTATTATATTATGTAGTATCTACTTATACAGAAGCTAATTAGCGGTTTTGCATAAACGTACTCTATCCAAAATACTATTTGATACCATTTTCAGGTTTACTAATAACTATGAATTGTTGAATTAATGATATAATTATATTTGTACATGCAAATATCATTAACATGAGTTTGTGTGTTTTCCGCGTTACCAGGATATTAAATAGGTGGCTTTTGAACTTGCATACAGTTAATTATCAAACAAATTCCTTAGTTGGGAAGTTCAATATTAATTCTTTAGTCGGATGCATAGCTTCTTCCAATATGAATATAAGCTTGATTATATTAACTAGCAACTATTGAAATCTATTACATTTGCCAAAGTTTGCTTTATGTCATTGTAATCTACCAAAATATACATACAATGTTGAAAGAGATAATAGATAGGATAATAAATAACTTTTGCAATGGTCATATTCCTTTTATTAATTTTTAATTTTATGGTTTTATTCTGGCTTTTACTTGTTTTGGAATAATAATTGAATTAAGTACGATTAAAGCTTTTTATGAATTATAAAATTTTAAAAATCCTGCTTATATATTTAATTACATTTAAATTATGGCTCGAATTTTAATAATGTTCATAATATCTTTTTATCACCTCGCTCCACCGTCTCGTAAGTGCTGTATAGATATTAGATAATAAATTTATGTGTTTATATTTTGGCATTATACCAAAAGCATAAAACGAAATAAAACGATAAAGCTATAAAAAATGGTTTTGCGTGCATGTGAAAAGAGCAACATCAGCATTTTTACGTGTTTCTGATACGCAATAAACACATTGTTGTTGGCAATCGGTATAAAAATATATGAACACTTTTTAAAATACCCGGTGATATTTCTAGTATTTATCTATTCGTGTGAAAGCTTTTCCATTCTACAATTCTAGAATCTCGGTGATGGCAAAAGGTGGTTTGTTAGCAAAACTTACTTCGTAAATTAAGTCTGTTATCGTTACGATGGAAGTTGAGAAGTAAATAAGATTGTTATTCAATGGATGAGTATTTTGCTAGTTTATA